TTCTCAGATGGGGAAGTTGAGATTAGCCTTCATCCGTGCTGCAGGAGGTATGACAAGCAGGTTTCTATGTTCTTAACTTTCCAGTGGGGTCACAGTGCAGGTTGCAGGGACATAAAGGGGATTTCCGAGCCTCTTGACACTTCCAGGTACAAGCTCATTAAAAACCTGCTAAAAAAAATAAGTGAATAAAATGAAACAAAAAAAGAGTGGTTGTACAGACAACAGAAATACGGGCTCTTGATGAATTTTAGCAGGGTTTTCTGAAAATCTGGCTATCTTTAAGGCCATGAGTATTCCCATAAACTAACAAACAAATGACCTATTACAGAAAATGCCATTTAATCTCTTGCCATTTGCTACTTTGCTATAAATTTGATTTACTTCTTTTGGGAGAATTACCCCAGAGTAGTGGTTACCAAACTTCAGCAGACATCAACTCACTTGGAGGACTTGTTAAAACGCAGATTGCTGGGTGCCACCCCGGGATTTCAGATTCGTTAGTTTTCTTATTTTGTTCAATGGATTATAATCTATTATATGTATTATTTATTATTTTTAGGACTTATGTATAATGTAATAAAATAATGTTATTTATTATAAACACCTATTATTTATAATAATGTTTATTTATAAGCATTATTTATTTTGATGCTGGAATTGTCCACCATTTGATAATGGGGAGTCTTTTCAAGCTGGATTCTGTGTCCGTTTGCTATACACTCACTGTATCTTGCTTTCTGCACGAGCTATTCCTGGCTCACCTAAGACTTTCTCTGCTGCAGTCCTGGAATTAGCCATTTTCCAAGGAGCCATGTTCCTCTTAGTGGAAAATTGTATTTATAAATCAAGTTCTGGGCTTTGGGTGTGCTCATTGTTAACGGGGTGTTACTGCTTCCAGACCTATGAGTGGCCAGAGCTAGAGAACATGTGTATGTAAATATGTGATATATATAAAAAACATGTACAAATAAACATGTATGTGTATATAAACACACTTCTGTGTCTATATTTATTTATATGTTGTTTATATATAAGTATATATTATTAGATATATTTAAAATATATACAATATTCTCTTTCTCTTTGTGTGTGTGTATATATATATACTATGATTCTTGTGATACATTCAGTTCCAACACAACACTATAGGTTTCTATGCCAAAGGCACAATAAAATTTATTTACTTCAAGTATTGGAAATAAGAAATAATAGCACATCCCTTCCTTTGAAATACTTGACTTTGTTGTATTCGTCATAACAGTTTTCCTCCTTTGCATGAGAAATTCCTGACTTCATTCATGCATTTGTCTGACAGCCGTCTTTCCTGGAGGTATTGCTTCCTTCAGAATTAACAGCATGTAGCTTTTCTTTATATCTGATGACCTGTTTTGAAATTCTCATGGAACTTACATTTTCTCCCCTTCCATGTTTGTAACGTCCTTCCCCTTCTCATCTATACAGGTGGGCAACGCAGCATGAGAAGTCAGAGCCAGAGCTCTGAAGGAGAAACTTGGCTCCTGGCATCCTCCTGTACTTGCCTGTTTGATCCGTCATCCTCTTTGTAGCCAATCTCTGAGCTCCACCACCACTGCCCATCCGTGCGGGGGCCCCCTTCGCTCTGTGTTTGGGCTCTGACTCCCTGTTCCAGGCGGTCACTCCATGTGGACACCCTCCTCACTGAGCTTGGGTTCGGGCTTCCTACATTGCATTGCTGCCCTGTCTAGATGCCCTCCTGACCGCTCTTGGTCCCTGAAGGCCACCCTCCTCTCCCTGCTCTGGTTTTGATTTTCCACCCTGGATATCTCTCATTGGGGTGCTCTCCTGCCCTGCCTGGTTGGGCTCTGTCTTTCCATGACAGGTCACCCGCCCCTCCCCCCACCCCCATCCTATTGATGCCTTCTTTATCCTGCCTGGGCTCTGGCATCTCATGCTAGGTCTCCCTCTTATCAATTCTTTCCTTCCTTTCCTCTCCTCTCCTTTCTTTTTTTTTTTTTTTTGAGACAGAGTCTCGCTTTGTCGCCCAGGCTGGAGTGCAGTGGCCGGATCTCAGCTCACTGCAAGCTCCGCCTCCCGGGTTCACGCCATTCTCCTGCCTCAGCCTCCGAGTAGCTGGGACTACAGGCGCCGCCACCGCGCCCGGCTAATTTTTTGTATTTTTAGTAGAGACGGGGTTTCACCGTGTTAGCCAGGATGGTCTTGATCTCCTGACCTCGTGATCCGCCCGCCTCAGCCTCCCAAAGTGCTGGGATTACAGGCGTGAGCCACCGCGCCCGGCTCCTTTCCTTTTTTCTTTCTTGACGGAGTCTTGCTCTGTTGCCAGGCTGGAGTGTAATGGTATGATCTCGGCTCACTGCAACCTCCCCTTCCTGGGTTTAAGTGATTCTCCTGCCTCAGCCTCCTGAGTAGCTGAGATTACAGGCATGCATCACCACGCCCAGCTAATTTTTGTATTTTTAGTAGAGATGGGGTTTCAACATGTTGGTCAGGGTGATCTTGAACTCCTGACCTCAGGTGATCCACCCACCTTGGCCTCCCAAAGTGCTGGGATTACAGGTGTGAGCACCTGCACCTGGCCTATCAATGCTTTCTTTACCGCACTGGGGCTCCAACACCTACTCTGGGCCATAGCCCCTCTCTACCCCCTACCACAGATACCTGCCTTGCTCTTCCTCAGCTAATGACTTTAGAACTGAAATGTTCAGGAAGGGAAGGCCTCGACTGGATTGTTTAAAATATAAGGAAATGGAAGCCCCATGGTTGCCCAGAGTCACACAGCAAATTAGTGGCAGCATCGGTACAAATCCAGTTCTTCCTGAGTGTAAGTTGGGTAAAGACAGGGGATCTTGTCTTTTGTTCACTACTTTATCCCCAGTGCCTAGCACAATGTCTGCATTGAGTAGAATGAAAGAATAAATGTATTATTTCCTGTTTAACTCTTTTCCTTTTCTTCTTTGTCATCTTGATATGTGTGTGTTGTATGTATGTGTAAATACTGGTGACTCTTTACACATTTGTCTATTATCAGTAGTAATTAATGCCCTTACATAAATGTCAACATCTTAATTTCTGTGCCTAGGAATTTCATCAATTCCATGAATTTCTGGAGTTTCTAGCTGGATAGATGGCAAACCTTATAAACTTTGTCATGTGGTTAAGGACATGGAAGCCCTAAAAAGCAGCAGTCATTACAGCATCCCAGGACTCCAGGACTTCCACCAACTGTGGAAGAGAGGATGTGTGATCACTATCAAAGTTAGTTTTCTAGTCACTAGACTATAATCCCTTCAAAAGATTTGGAACCCTACAAGAGAAAAATACCATCACCAGATGGCAAACTTGAGACCCAGGATCCATTCCTTCAGTCACACTGTTCAACTAAGACCATTCTGCAGATGATCTCACAGCGTAGTGTTTCTAAAACACATGCTGAAGAATCCTGCCTCTGAGATATCCTTCTTGAGAGGAGGATTCTGAGTTCCAATAACATTGAGAACATACTCGCATACATGTCTTCTCTAGCAGTTCACAATGGACGTGAGCATTGTGAAGGCGCTAAGAAATGCTGGAGTGGAGAAAACTGTTTAACTTTGTGTAACCTGGCATCCTTTAAATTTACTTAACCATAAAGCTCTGGTGTAGAATAATACCAGTTTCAGTCTCATTTCCTCATTCATGCAAAGGGCAAACACATTATGTTACCTGGGGCTTTTGCACAGAGTGAATGAGATAAACATATGTAAAGTATACAGCGCCATCCTTGGTATACGCTACACATATGATAGGTGTTAATTCCTTTTCTCAGATTTTTTATTTACTGAAAACCATTGTTTTATTATTGAAAAAGTTACATGTATTTATTTATAATAATAGAAAGAATACACAAGGCTAAAACTTCAAACCATAAAAGGGATATAAAATTAAAAAACTATCTCCTACCTCAGATTCCTCAGATTCCCAAGAGGAATGTTTTCATGTACCTTTCCAGACGTTTTCTGTGTATGTATATGCAGACATATCAGAAACAGATTTTCAAAAATCTGTTCCCAGTAAATGAGGTAATGGGTTTGCATTCATTTGTTTTGTACTCCTGCAGCAGGACTTCTAGGTTCTTCCATTTTGTGCTACCTCAATTTGTTTTTTTAAAATTCTTGGGAGGGGTGAAGTTAGGGCCTTATGTTTATAGCGAAACATTTATAAAGTGAATGTCACAGAGAACTGGAAACCCCCAGAGCATTTGGGGGTTAACTAAAGGTCTAGTTTAAGTGTAAAGCCTTTTTTGGTAAAGACTTGCTTAATACTTCCTGAAGGAATTGATGGGCTGGTATGTAGGTATTAAGGGGCTAGTATGTAGGTTTCCAATTTATGACGGTTTGTTTGACTTCTGATTTTTCAACTTCACCATGGTGCAAAAGCAATTTGCATTCAGTAGAAACCGTATTTGGGGTACCTGTGCAACCATTCTGTTTTTCACTTTCACTGCAGTATTCAATATATCACAGGGGACATTCGACACTTTATTATAAAACAGACTTTGTGATAGATGATTTTGCCCAATCTTATGCTATTGTAAGTGTTTTGGGCACATTTAAGGTAGGCTAGTCTAAGCTAGGATGTTCAGCAGGTTAGGTGTATATTTAATGCATTTTGACTCATGATATTTTTAACTTAAGGTGGATTTATTGGGATGTAATCTTATTCTAAGTCAAGGAGCACCCACGCTCCATAATAATTAAATTTGATATCTTTTATTTTAACAGTTATGACTTGCCTTATAGGTGGCTATATCTAGGTATCTCACCCGTGAGAAAATACGAGTTCTTTGAGGACCCTGTTCATTTCTTGTACCAATTCGAACACATTAAAGGGATTTAATATGGATTTGATGAAGCGAGGGAGTGTCCAGAGAAGACCAAAGCATCTGTTCTCTCTACTAGAACACAACTGTGATTGAGGAGGTGAATGTTCATTTATCTGTTCTTTCAGGTAAGGGTGGAGGATAGGGAAGGAGAACGTGGGAGCCTGGGCAGGAGAGGGTCAGAGCTGCATCTATAGAGAGACACCAGTTTGTAGTTACTCTGATGATGTATTAGCTTCCCAGGGCTGCTGTAATAAAGTACCACAAACTGGATGGCTTAAACAACAGAAATTTATTGTCTTACAGTTTTGGTGGCTAGAAGTCTAAAGTCAAGGTGTCAGCAGAGCCAGTTCTTGCTGAGGACTCACTCTTTGGCTTGTAGATGGCCGTCTTCTCTGTCTCTTCTGATCATCTTTCTCTATTCATGTCTGTGTTCAGATTTCTTCTTCTTATAAGAACATCAGCCATATTGATTAGTGACCACCCTAACAAACTCATTTTAACTTGATAGGCTCTGTAATAACCGTATCTCCATATAGGGCCCCATTCTGAGGTACTGAAGGTTAGGACTCCAACATATGAATTTTGGAGGGGACACAATTCAGCCTGTAGCAGATGGGTTATCATGCTGGGCTTTAGTGCTTTTCAAGACCCACCCTGTGCCAGTATGCCCACTCACCAACTGCATCTGTCAAAATGTAGGCTCCTTAAAGAAATGAAAGCATTAAAATCACATGTGATGATTGCCATTTATCCTCTTGTTGACAAACTTGTTCATTTCCCTGAGAGAGTGTTTTGTGTGGTCTGAAGCACCTGCCAGTCTATCCGTGCTGTACCCTCCCAAGACAAAAACACAGGAAGCCGAGCCATAGGTGACCACTGGCATCCACTGCCTTCATGATTTCCTCTTTGGTTTCTTCGGTTTTGTTCCCTTGCTTCACTCTGTGACTTGTCTGGACATTCACTCTTTGACCCTTGTGGCTAGTCCCTCCCCTTCTTCTTTATTGCCTGGAGTTATCTCCCTATTCCCATAACTCTAATCACTTCTTTCACATTCTCCTTCAGTGAAGGATGAGGAAATTGAAAGCAGAGTATGCATGTTTTATTAGGAGATTCAGACGGCATCCTACTGCATTAGCCTCAAAAGTCCTAAAATATAAAGACATCCATCTGACAGATCACTGAGGGGAGGACTTATTTTTCTGTTTTAGAAGTTTCTGATTAAACTTATTAGCTCAAGAAGAAAAGAAGCTAGTTGTTTCTCACCCAGGAGTGGATTTGTGGTTTGGCTTCACCATGGCTTCTTGCCGTGCCTGGAACATTAGGGTGCTGGTGGCTGTCGTGTGTGGGCTACTGACTGGCATCATTTTGGGACTGGGCATCTGGAGAATTGTGATCAGGATCCAAAGAGGTAATGTTGTCCTGCTATGTTTAACTCAGAGTAAGAGAAGGCATGGGACCTCTGTCCCTGCCACCTGAGGCACAAGTACTGGGAGGTGCCTTGTCCAGTCTGAGGCATCCCAGCAAGATGCCATTTATGGGATATAAAAGACCAAGTCAGTTAAGCCTAGCGGATGGTTGAACAGAAATGAATAGGTGTGGGTGTGAATGGGGAGGGGGAAGAGTGACATAATTGAATTGGCGTCTTTATGCTTTTTTAACTCCAGACTGAATTGGTAGAAGAGTAATAATTAAAACAATTAGTAACACATGTTTAGGTCTGTTGGGTTAAATTAAGGAAAGGGTAAATCGTTATGAACAAGGACACACACATGCAGCAAACACGTACACACACGTGCATAACACACACACAATAAACATGCACAGAATAGAATTTCACTTTAAGAGAGAAGTTAAAGAAACTCATCACCAAGGTTTAAGTGAAATGATCTCATGGTTTGCATACAAATTTCCCACTTTCCAGATGTAGGAAATTAATCAACAATTTAAAAATCATTTTTAAATGACTTTCCTGATTATTCAACAAATATTTATTAGTTCCCCACTGTGTGCCAGAGCTGGCCTGGAAAAGGAGGACGTGGGAGGGGAAGTATTGAGTAAAACAATGATGTTAAAGCAAAGCCTGCTGTAACTCAGAACAGAAAATTTCAATGATCCTAATGCTGGATCCCTTGGGCTGTAGAGCTTCTCCATAAAGGAATTCAATATTGGATGGGCTGCATACTCCCTTTTGTAAAAATCAGAGAAAGCTTCTAATGAAACAATAAATAAGGGTAAGTGTCATGCACGTCCATGTGAAGAGACCACCAAACAGGCTTTGTGTGAGCAACATGGCTGTTTATTTCACCTGGGTGCTGGCAGGCTGAGTCCGAAAAGAGAGTCAGTCTTCAGCTGCTAAGCCGAGAAGATCTGGGAAGGAGTCAGTCAGAGAGCCTTGGCCCAGAGCTCCAGGGGCTCTGGGAGTGGCTGCCAGGTGAGTTGAACGGTCCGATTTCCAGTGGGGTGCCGCACAGATGGGACACGGCTTAGGAGGAATCCTGGGCTGCGGGCATTCCTTGGCCCAGTGGTCAGATTTCCAGCACTTGTAGCAAGCTCCTTGGGGAGGAGGTTCTGGAGGAACCCCTGGCAGCTGCGGTTCAGGTGTCTGGAGTTGTGTGCTGGAGATGTGGCTGGGGTTTGTCTCACAGTGGAGGCAAGGAATTGCAACTCAGAAGTAAGTTGCTACTTGGCTGCCTCTACTCTATTATTGTACACCTTGAAGGCGAGGTTCATTAAGTCCTGTTGTGGGGTTTGAGGGCTGGAATTTAATTTTTGGGGTTTTATTTAATGTCAGGAGCAGATTGGGTAATAAAATAAAATTCATATTGAGAATAAGAAGGCCTTCTGACCTTTCAGGGTCTAAGGCTGAAAAGTGTCTCAGGGTTGCTGCTAAATGGGCCATGAACTGGGCCTCTAAGTTTTTCATATTTGATGAAAAAGAGCCTAAATGCTAACTGATTTGGGAGAGGTCGGATAAAGAAAAAGGAACATTAACCTTGACTATGCCTTTAGCTCTATCCACTTTTAAGAGGAAATTTCTGGGCAGGTGGGGGAGGGCTAGTCGCGGAACGAAACTGTAAGCCAGACCAGGTGTGAGGAGGGGAGGTGATAAAAGGACTATAGGGTGGGGGAGCAGAGACTGAGAAAAAATTGGGACCTAGCTTGGCCTGGCCAGGAGGGGAGAGGTCAGATGGGTCTGTAGAAAGGGATGATTTTTAGAAAGACTCACCGACACTTGGGGTTGGGGCTGAGGGGACAGGTGGGAGGGAAAGAAGGAAGATTTGGGACGAGCTGCATTGGGAACAGAGACTAGGGAGGGACCGATGTGTAAAAGAATGCCTGGACGTCAGGCACCTCAGACCGTTTGCCCATTTTACAACAATTATTTAGATCTTGTAGGATGGAAAAATCGAAAGTGCTGTTTTCTGGCTATTTGGAACTACTGTCGAGTTTGTATTGGGGTTAAGCAGCATTGTAGAAGAAAATAAGGCATTTAGGTTTTAGATCAGGTGTGAGTTGAAGAGGTTGAAGTTCTTGAGAACATAGGTTACGGAGAAGGAAGAATGGAGGGTGGAAGGTTGCCCGCGGTGAAGGAGGCAAGCCCAGAGAAAAGAGAGAGTGGAGACACAGAGAGAAGGAGTTCGGGGGTTCTTGCCCTCCAGAAAAGCAGGAAAGGGGTCGGGGAGCAGAAATAAGGTATTGGGGTGCAAAGATAAGAGATAGGGGTGCAAAAATAAGAGGGGGCACAAAAATAAGATGTCAGGGCGCAAAAATAAGAGGGGGCGCAAAATAAGAGGTTGGGGTTCTTGCCCCTCCCCCAGAAAAGCAGAGAAAGGGTAGAGACAGGGAGAGAAGGGGTCGGGGTACTTGTTCCTCCCCCAGAAAAGCAGAGAAGGGGCAGAGACAGGGAGGGTAGGGGTTGGGGTGCTTGCCTCTCCCCCAGAAAAGTAGGACTTGCCGCTTAGGGTGAAGGACCAAGGCAGACGTCCCTGCAGCGTGGTCAGACACCCCTGAAACATGGGTGAGTAATCAGAGAGGCGTCCCTGCAATGATTAAACACCAAGGGAAGGCTGCCTTCCCCAGTCCGTGATCGGCGCCGGCGTTTTGGGTCCATGGATAAAACATGTCTCCTTTGTCTCTACCAGAAAATGAAAGGAATTGAAATTAAGAGAAGGGAGAGATTGAAGGGTGGTGCCAAGACTGAAAGGAGAAAGAGGTCGAGGGATAGTGAGAGAGGTTGGAGAAGAGAGTAAAAAAGGGTGCCGTTTACCAGATTTAAAATTGGTGAGATGTTCCTTGCGCTGGGTGGTCTGAGGACTAGAGGTCATAGGTGGATCTTTCTCAGGGAGCAAAGAGCAGGAGGACAGGGGATTGATCTCCCAAGGGAGGTCCCCTGATCTGAGTCACGACACCAAAATGTCATGCGTGTCCGTGTGAAGAGACCACCAAACAGGCTTTGTGTGAGCAACATGGCTGTTTATTTCACCTGGGTGCAGGCGGGCTGAGTCCGAAAAGAGAGTCAGCGAAGGGAGATAAGGGTGGGGCCATTTTATAGGATTTCGGTATGTAAAGGAAAATTACAGTCAAAGGGGGGTTGTTCTCTGGTGGGAAGGAGTGGGGATCACAAGGTGCTCAGTGGGGGAGATTTTTGAGCCAGGATGAACCAGGAAAAGGACTTTCATAAGATAATATCATCGCTTAAGGCAAGGACCGGCCATTTTCACTTCTTTTGTGGTGGAATGTCATCACAGGGCATTTGCACTTCTTTTGTGATTCTTCAGTTACTTCAGGCCATCTAGGCATATATTCGTGCAAGTCTCAGGGGATGCGATGGCTTGGCTTGGGCTCAGAGGCCTGACAGTAAGTAATGTCAATCGGGAAAGGCAGCAGGAGAGCCAGTATGCCCTCCGAGCAGGTAACTGGGGAGGACAGAAAGTTGGGGAGCTAGCAGGAACATGGAGCATGGCTGCAAAGATTCACTGTTGAAGACCAACAGAGGGGTCTGACATACTGGCTGCTGATGGAGTGGTAGCTGGGGATGGATCTGTCCTTCCCCTATCCCACTGTCCTAACCAGTATTTAGAGAATGCTGTGTAAATAGTATTTAGAGAACTGGAATGAGAAAATTTACCAGAACAAAAATAGTAAAATTTAAACTTGGAGCAAATGTGTTTTTGCTTGTTTGTTTAAGGTTGTAAAATAGTTTCATTCAGGTTAAAAAATTATGAACTATGGATTTTACCCCATTAAGACTGCCAAATTTATAAGACCTCAATTAAAGGGCATACTTCACGAAGTTTTTTTTTTCCTTCCTTCCCTTGCCCTCCCCTCCCCTCCTCTCCCCTCCTCTTCCCTTCCCTTCCTTTCCCTTCCCTTCCCTTCCCTTCCCTTCCTTCCCTCCCTTCCCTCCCTTCCTTTTTTCCTTTATGTAAGTGACATCTACTCTTAAAGGGAAATATGTGGTGACTTACGAAGGACACAGTTATAGCAAAAGCATTAAAAACAAGGACCAAAGTACAAAAACAACATAAGAAAGGGTGCAGGGTGGGGACAGAAAACATGAAAGTTCAAGGCTTAGCGGGAGTTTCTTAAGATAAATACAAAATATATTCCTGAACTCTCTGAGTGCTAAGATCCAAAAGGAGGCATAATAAGTGGTAAAGATCCCATGTCTAACAGCAGAGGCCTACTAGCTCCTCAAAAAGATAAGCTTTTCTCTGGTTCTGAGCAGCATTTTTCAATTGGCTATTTATATAAGGGATATCTCTTAGCTTTGGGGGAAACCCAGTGGAAAAGGAGAGGGTTCTCACTATCATTTAAAGAACAAGCGTGAAAGACTGGTACTGTTTGCTGTTACTATTTTGCCTTGTACATTTTATTGAGAGTGCATTTGAGGTGGTAAATTCTGTTTCTTTTCACTTCACTCCACTCCACTCTACTCTATTTCTTTTTATCCTATCCCATCCCATCCTATGTAATTGTTGAATATTCTTGCTTGGGTTCCTTTATTCAGGTATAGACATAAATTCGTTTTACATTTTTTTTTAAGGGGGAGAGAGGTCACACATATCTCTGAGAAACTGATGAAAGCATAAATGTCTTAGTAGGGAAAATATACATAAAAACACAACATTTTGCATAAATTAATTTTATTGCATTCAAAATTTATTTTGAATAATTACTCCAGGCTGGAGTAACATATATATAAATTAAGATAATGTATAAATTAAGTCTCTCTCACTTTTATTTTTCTTGAAAAAGTAATGACCTCATTGTGAAAAATAAAAAAAAAAACTTCAAATTCTGCTCTGAGTAAATTACAGTAAGAAGTTACTCTGAAAAAAAAAAAAAGAAGTTACTCTGATTTGGCAGTAAACATTGATGTGCAACAATATTTATGCTATTTATGCA